AAGGAAAAAAACAAAACATGGCTTGCGATAAGGAGCCGGCTTGTGTCGTTCACGAGCCATTTCGTTTGCGATCGACACATCACTACTAGTGATGGTAAATTTGATTCTTGTTACTGAATCGGATTTAATGAGTCACTCACCAAAGTGAATCGGGTTTTTGAGTCCATTGATTCACTGAGTCAGTTGACCAGAGAGTGCAAAAAATTTACATTTTCACTCAAACTTAATTTCTTTCTCTTTTCATGTAAATCCTACTGCTAAGATGAATGATTCTAAAAAAAAAAAAAAAACCAACTATTTTATAGAGCAAAAAAGAGCAAAAACATTTCTAAAATTAAGCAATTTCCTATTAAAATTGCTTAATAAACATTTCTTTTGTTTATGGTAAATGGTAAATGGCCTGTATTTATATAGCGCTTTACTAGTCCCTAAGGACCCCAAAGCACTTTACATATCCAGTCATCCACCCATTCACACACACATTCACACACTGGTGATGGCAGCTACATTGTAGCCACAGCCACCCTGGGGCGCACTGACAGAGGCGACAGAGGTTTATTTTTATTTTATTAGCATTTTCCTTAAATGTGTTAAATATATATTTTCTCATCTAAATGTCCACTGAGCTGTGAGCCAGAGGGCGGTAATGCGCCTTAACATTGGTTGCCACCAAGAAGAAGAAGAAGCTGTGAGCCAGGAGGGAGGGGGTTAGTGAGTCCTGAGTGATTCGCTTACGCTTATGATTCAGCACAGGAAGGGAGGGGGTAAGTAGCTCAAATGTGCTGTTAGCATGTTAGCAGAGCGATGCTACTGTGAACCGAGAAGCTATTTTCTTGATGTGAGCTTCTACTCAGGGTTTTTTCTTCCAGTTCAGAGCAGATTTTTTTTTGTTAAGATACTGGATGTTGTGTTTTTCTCCACAATTTTAATTATAAGCTAGATACATTGCTGCTAACAGCAACAGGGATGAGTCAGTGAGTCAGTTGGGCCTGTGAATCATGATTCATGAGTCAGTAAAGTGATTCTCGAGTATTGAACGATTTGTTCATGATTCGCGCATCACTAATCACTACTGTCCAGTCTCTGAGGTGACAGCACTGCTGTGGCTCCTACAGCTTCATGCACAGCCTGCAGAGCTGATGGAGTCTGCTCTCAGCTGCACAGCAGTGAACACCAGCAGCACCACCCGTTAGCACACAGTGCTCCCTCTGCTAACAAAGGACTGTGGGCTTCCTGTACCAACTGACAGGATCCAGCTCTGCAGACAGATGGTAACACATCACCGCAGCACAAATAGCACAGGTCTAATATATGCACGCACGACTCGGTGTGAATGTGACCTTTAACCCTGATGACCGCAGTGTGCGGGTTGGTGTATTTCACAGTCAGTGGCTAACGTTTGGTCCTGCATGCTAACTGATAACCTTCCTGGAAGCTGAACAGCGTTTGTTTAATTCACCCTCAGCGTGACTGAAGGCTCCCACTGAACATGCTCTTTGTTCCCAGTGACCACATGTTCACCCACGTGGCGCACACACTCTTCTTTTACATGACCTCAGTCACATGTTTGTGTTTGCCTCTTACTTTGTAAAACACACAGGTTGCAGCTGTCTCACTGTCGACTTACTTTGTACTGATTCATTAAAGATTCATCCAAGCTCTGTGGTTTCTAATAATTCTGGAAAGGTTATTGTTTGATCTGTGTTTCTGTCCTGATTATTACGAGGTTCAGTAAGTTCTCAACCAGTGTCGGTGTTGATGTTGGTGCTGTTCTCCTGAGGCGCTGTAACACTGAGTCATTGGTCCAAGCTGTTAGAGCTGAGGGTGTGTAATGTTGGTGAAACATGGAGTTTTATTGTGGTGATCTTGCTGTTTGCATGCTTGTTGTTCAATGTCTGTCCAGGGCTGAGTTTGCTCTGTGGGGCCGATAGGTTGGTCAGGAAGTAGCTCTAAGGTCCTTTAAGACTTTGTGGGATTTTGTAGTGTTTTCAATTTCATTTGTGGCAGGAAAACATAATTTTTATTAATCAACCCAGAGAATTAAACCATGTTGATGTTGGACGAGCTGGGATATTTGAAATAGGCAATTATAACTCATAATTATATTTTAATAATAGGCATTTGTTACGTAATGTGATTTATCTGATTATGTTTGTGTGTCTGAGGATGTTGGGATGACTTATAGTTTCCATTTTGTTTTTAGATTTGCTACAGAGCTGATTTTTTTTCTATTTATGTCAGTGCGCCTCAGGGTGGCTGTGGCTACAATGTAGCTGCCATCACCAGTGTGTGAATATGTGTGTGAATGGGTGGATGACTGGATATGTAAAGCGCTTTGGGGTCCTTAGGGACTAGTAAAGCGCTATATAAATACAGGGCATTTACCATTTTACCATAAATAGAACCTGTTTACAAGGTTCACGATTCCTGGCATTCCCTCTTCAAGTGTGGAAACAATATAATTGCACATAAGATAAAGTGTCAGGAGTGAGCAGCAGTACAGATTTGAGCAGTACAAGATTAAAAGTGGCAGTTAGTACAGTACAGTACGGAGAATGAGGTTTTGTTTTTTTTTGTGATTACTGATAAAGTGAGTGAACAGTGCAGAATGTAGAATGTACTTGAGCAACTTTAGGACAGCTTCTGTGTGCATCCTGTGGTGTGTAGTGTGTGAGATGTGGTTCAGGTGTCGTATGGCTTGGTGGTAAAAACAGTTTTTAAGTCTTGTAGTCTAAGCAGACAGACTCCTGTAATGTCTGCCAGATGGTAACAAGGAGAACTGCTGATGTGCTGGGTGGCTGTGGTCCTTGATGATGCTGTGTGCTTTATGGTGGCACCGCTGGAGATAAATGTCCTGAATGCAGGGCTCGCAAAATTTCAAAATCCCTGGTAGCCCTTCGGGCAGGGACTCTTCAGTTTTTGGTAGCCCAAAATAAATTTAAGTAGCCCGAATAAAAAAGGTAGCAATTTTTTGATTGATGTTTTGTTTCCCATTTTGTTTCCTTTACAATATTATACATTAAAGTATAAGATTGTAAAGGAAACAAAACATTAATCAAAACAATTGTTGAAACACAAATTACAACATTGTATAAAAATTACAATCATCAACTTAAATACTTGGTTCTAATTGAACAGACATTTCTATGAACTTGTAAAAACTGTGTAGGACATGAATCAGTCTCTGTCAGATCCTGAATTTGAAATTTCCACTGAAGTCACGGGTAAGAGGCAAGTGGAACCAAGATCGAGGACGTTTGCTTTTTGAAGTTTGCAAAGACTGCTAAATTTTCCCAGTGGTAGTTCACTCTTTGCAACATAGTACGCTGTTCCTTTTGCAATTGGTGTTTGTTCTGGGAAAGATATTGCAGACTGAGCAATAATGCATTTCTTGCATTTCTCATGGGTTCTAATGGGGGCCTTTCTTAAAATGACTGGTCCCAGTAACAAAGGCGCTTGTCGACTCAGAAATCGAGGGAAAACCAACAACACATCCGGCAGAACATTATGTTATTTACACGGGTGCACATAAGTGGTCCGCATGTGCGCATTCGCTGTCAAAATAAAAGACGCGCACCAGATAAGAAGTTGCAACGTGCGTTTGCGTCCATATAAAAGGCAGTGTTTTTGTCCGCTAGAGTGGGATTTTCACGGCACATCCTGCACCACGTCTCTGTGCGTTCATCATTTGTTTGAAGCCAGCTCACCTCCTGCAACTACTTGTCCGAGAATACGTGCTTCTTTTGTGGTTCGGACTCCTTCTGACATTTCTTTGGAGGTGGAGGAACATCACAGTAATTGCTTAAAGGAGCTTCTTCGACATCTTTAAGAGTTCTAAACAAATGTCTGTCCTCCTCCAGAAAATCTTACAGTGGGGCAAAAAAGTATTTAGTCAGCCACCGATTGTGCAAGTTCCCCCACCTAAAATGATGACAGAGGTCAGTAATTTGCACCAGAGGTACACTTCAACTGTGAGAGACAGAATGTGAAAAAAAAATCCATGAATTCACATGGTCGGATTTGTAAAGAATTTATTCGTAAATTAGGGTGGAAAATAAGTATTTGGTCACCTCAAACAAGGAAAATCTCTGGCTCTCACAGACCTGTAACGTCTTCTGTAAGAAGCTTTTCTGTCCCCCACTCGTTACCTGTATGAATGGCACCTGTTTGAACTCATCATCTGTATAAAAGACACCTGTCCACAGCCTCAAACAGTCAGACTCCAAACTCCGCCATGGCCAAGACCAAAGAGCTTTCGAAGGACACCAGGAAAAGTATTGTAGACCTGCACCAGACTGGGAAGAGTGAATCTACAATAGGCAAGCAGCTTGGTGTGAAAAAATCAACTGTGGGAGCAATCATCAGAAAATGGAAGACATACAAGACCACTGATAATCTCCCTCGATCTGGGGCTCCACGCAAGATCTCATCCCGTGGGGTCAAAATGATCATGAGAACGGTGAGCAAAGATCCCAGAACCACACGGGGGGACCTGGTGAATGGCCTGCAGAGAGCTGGGACCAAAGTAACAAAGGTCACCATCAGTAACACACTACAACGGCAGGGAATCAAATCCCACAGAAAAAAAACAAAAAAACAAACAAAAAAAACCAATCGTAAGTACTCAAACAATAGTATGTACAATATATACAGGATAGCAGCATTAATATAATGCTGCTATGATCACTCACCAATCAGTGCTGTCGCTCTCTATACACAGTTCGCGCGATTGCAAAGTGAAAGCAAAAAACAAGCGCAAATTCAAACGCGATTTCAATATGTCACATATTGACAGTGGCTCACCGATGCCAATGACATAATTACCCAGCTACATTTCCGAAAGAATGCAAAAGCATTGACATATATTTTTCCTTCCTACGATAGGCCGACGGGCAGGGCAGAGATAGATTTTGGTAGCCCGACTGGAAAAATCGCTAGCCCCGGGATGTTGGGCTAGCGATTTTGCGAGCCCTGCCTGAATGGCAGGAAGCCTCATGCCAGTGATGTGCTCTGCTGCCTTCACCACCCTCTGTAGTGATTTTCAGAAAGTAGAGTCGCTTGTGAGCTTTCCTGATAGCAATGTCTGTGTGAAGGGTCCAGGAGAGATCCTCAGTGATGTAGACTCCAAGGAATTTAAAGTTGGTGACACTTTCGACCTCGACACTGTTGATGTTGATGGACTGGTGTTCCCTGACTGGTCGTTTCTGGTAGTCCACTATCATTTCCCTTGTTTTGCTGATGTTGAGAGTCAGGTTATTTTCCAGACACCACTTGTACAGCGCTATCACCTCCTCTCGATAGGCCATCTCATCGTTGCCTGTGATGAGGCCTGGTTGTGTCATCCGCAACCTTGATAATGGTGTTGGACTTATGTTTAGCAACGCAATCGTGTGTGTGAACAGGGAATAAAGGAGGGAGCTAAGCACACATCCCTGTGGCATTCCTGTGTTTAGGATGTGATGAGGAGGTGTGCTTACCTGCTCTCACGACCTGGGGCCTGTTCGTGAGGAAGTTCAGAATCCATCTGCAGATGGGTGTTCCCAGCCCAAGGTCGACGAGCTTCGAGGCAAGTTTTGAGGGGATGATGGTGTTAAAAGCCGAGCTGTAGTCGATGAAGAGCATTCTTGAACATGTTTTTTTTTTTCCAGGTGAGTGAGGTTGGTGTGCGTTGTTAGGGCGATGGCATCCTCTGTAGTTAGGCGAACTGAAGAGGGTCCAGCCTGTCAGGGAGGGAGAAGCAGATGTGACCTTTGACTAGCCGCTCGAGGGACTTCATAATGACAATGTCAGTGCAACAGGGCGGTAGTCATTCAGACAGGAGACCGCTGATTTCTTTGGGACAAGAATGACAGTGGATGTTTTGAAGGATGTGAGGACCACTGACTGTCTCAGGGAGAGGTTGAAGATGTTGGTGAACACCCCTGCCAGCTGGTCGGCGCACGCCCTGAGAACCCAGCCTGGGATGCAGTTATAGCCTCACTGTCCTCCTGAGGGTAGAGGATCTGCTCCTTGTTGTCTTTATATGCGTCAGGATTCCCTGAGGTAAAGGCAGAGGTTCACGCCTTGACCTTAGTATGATTGTCTTTAATTACCTAGACTTTCTGATTTGTATATTTGCAGACGGTGGTTTTGGTGATGATATCGTCTATAGATTTATCAATATATCCAATGACAGAGTCTGTGAGTTCATTGATGTTGCTATGAGCGGCATTCTCAAATATCTGCCAGTCAGTTGTCTCAAAGCAGTCCTGGGGAGGGAAACAGTCTGTGATATAATGTGAGCCACCTTCATCTCAGCTGACCTCAGAGAGTTGATTCTGTTCATCTGGACATTTTCCGTGGGAGAAACATTTTGGACACACAGGTCACGCTGATGTCTGACTTTAAAAATGTATGATTTCATAAAACAGTTGTACTGAGTAAATTACTGAGAAAGTGTTCCTCTAATCAATCAGAATCAGAATCAGAATACTTTATTGATCCCTGGGGGAAATTATTTTTTTTACAGTGCTCCATTTTAAACCAACATTAAGACAAGACAGACAATACGCTAACTAAGAATAGTACAATATATACATATATATACATACATACATACATACATACATAAGTCACTTATAAATAAATATTTGGAAAAGAAACATGTGTAGTTGTAGCAGCAAACAGTGTGTTAAGTGGATGCGTTGTACAGGGAGATGGCCACAGGCAGGAATGATTTCCTGTGTCGTTCAGTGGTGCTTTTCGGTAATCTCAGTCTCTCACTGAACGAGCTCCTGTGACTGACCAACATGTCATGGAGTGGGTGGGAGGTGTTATCCAACATTGTCTTTATCTTGGACAGCATCCGCCTCTCCGACACCACCTTGAGGGAGTCCAGCTCCATCCCCACAACATTGCTGGCCTTACGGTTAACTGGTTTAAAGCGGATTGTGCTAAAATGACATGAAGACATGAAATGAAATAACCTTTGCCTTAGTTCAACCGGGATGAAAGGTTGGAGATGGTAAATGGTAAATGGATTGGTTCTTATATAGTGCTTTTCTACTCTATCTGAGCACTCAAAGCGAGATGGAGTGGATGATAAGGTGTAGCTAGATATCGCTGGATCTCATGTGAACAGAGAGATTGGATTAGGGCTGCAACGATTCATTGAGTACTTCGAATAAGTGGAGTACAAAAATTCTCCACAGAAATTCTTTGATGCTTCATTTAACAAACTGGACTGGACTCATAACTCAGACGCCCTCTACAGGAAAGGGCAGAGCAGGCTGTACCTGCTGTGGAGACTCAGGTCGTTTGGAGTAGAGGGCCCACCCCTGAAGACCTTCTATGACTCTGTGATGGCCTCAGCCATCTTCTATGGTGTGGTCTGCTGGGGCAGCAGCATCTCTGCTGGGGACAGGAAGAGACTGAACAGGCTGATCAGAAGGGCCAGCTCTGTTCTAGGATGCCCTCTGGACCCAGTGGAGGTGGTGAGTGACAGGAGAAAGGTGGCTAAGCTGTCATCCCTGTTGGACAACATCTCCCACCCCATGCAGGAGACTCTGACAGCACTGAGCAGCTCCTTCAGTGGGAGACTGCGGCACCCACGGTGTGGGACGGAGAGATTTCACAGGTCTTTCCTCCCCACTGCTGTCAGACTCCACAATAAAGACTTTTGCAGCTGATCAAACCCTCACATGTGCAATAAGACTACTATATGTGCAATTCTTCTTCTGACGAAGTTGTATTTTTGTATTTTCCCACTCAGTTGTATATAGTATTTGTATTTATATTTTATTCTATTGTATTTTATTGCATTCCAGTGTTTTCTAATTTCTGCTACATAACTTTGCACTTTTGCTGTAACAAAACAAATTTCCCACCTGTGGGACTAATAAAGGTCATCTTATCTTATCTTAATGGATGGCTCTGTAGCATTAAATGATGTAAACGTGTTTCACCCACATGTGCGACTACAAACAGACCTGCAATAGAAATGCATTTAGGAGTAGCGTGTGAATATAAAGTGTAACCACATCAGGCCCACGCAGCCCGCAGTTTTAAACAAAAACAATGATAACACAACAGCACTCGACTGGGCATACATTGGAGCTCCTCGAGGCATTTTGGGTCGGTTCATTTTGATTTTGCTGTACCTGTCATGGTCCTGGGTTGGTGACCAGTGTTTAGTGTTGTTCTCTGGATACGTCCACGTCGGATTAGGCCAGCACATCCTCGTCCATCCGCCAAATCACACCGATTTTGGCCATCCACCAAACTACATTGATGCCCACAATCCTCCAAACCACACCAACGATGGCTGCCATCCAAGTCACCTGAAGCTCTTTGTCTCCGTCATCTTCTTCATTGGGTTCCAGAAAAGGCCCTCCTTTGCCATCGTCGTACTCAGGATCTATTGGCCAAGGATCTTCGCCATCAAAGGTGGCCTCCTGAACTGTGGCGTTGTCGCCTCTTCCCACGCGGTCGACCTCCGGAGCTGCTTCCAGTACGCCGCCGCTGCTTTCCGCAAGGTTGGCCTCCAGACCCACTTCGCCTTCGCCCCTACCACTTTCCACGCGGTCGGCCCCTGAACTGTATCTGCACTGCCGCGGCCTTCTGGACTATTTGTTTTTCTTTCTGGTTCCGTTCCTGTGTTTTCATCTGTCTGTCTGTCGCATCGCACCATCATGTTCCCTCATAGTGCTGTGGGTTTCCTCCGTGCATCTTGTGATTCCCAGTTCGAGTTTCCCAGTTTCTGCTGTAGTTCATTGTTTCTAGTTTTTGGTCAGTTTTCTCGTGTTAATGTTCGGGTTTCGTACAGCCACTAAAGCTGCCTCCCTTAGTTACTCCTTGGGCCATGTGCACACTAATGCCTTTTCGTTTGAAAACGTGTCTTTTCTCTCCATTTTGGCCTTCCGTCTACACTGAGACAGTGTTTTTGGTCAAGGAAAACTGACCTTTTTGAAAACGCTTTCCAAAGTGGATACATTTGAAAACGCTGGTTTTGCATCGCAGTGTGCCCTGCGAAAACGCAGGCCTTTTGAAAACGATGACGAATTTTAGTCATGTGATGCATTCATGTGACCAATTCAACCAAGATGGCGGACGGCATTGTACAGCAGTTATTTTGTTTGCTCTCAATTTTGACAGCCATATCAAAGATTAATATCAGTTCGGACATGCTCCAGATAGCTTTTCTTCAAATTCTTTAATTCTCACTCACTTTTGCAACTTTGTACTTTTGTGTTACTTGCAGCAACTCCACCTCATTGTTAGTCCATTTAAAAAACTTGATGCTTTTCCTAGACATTTCAAAGAGCCGGAAAGTAAATAAACGGCAGACAGAAATAACGCAGGTCGAATCATCTTACGTTTCACGCATGCGCAGTACAGCAAAGTAATTGTTTTTAGTCGTTTTAGTGTGGATGCACAACTGTTCAAAACTGATTGAAAACAATAGTGTGGACGTTTTCAGTTTTCAAATTTGTCCAGATTAGTGTAGACGTAGCCTTGGTTTCCCGTGAGTCCTGCATTTGGGTCTTTCATCCTTCCTCCCACACAGTTTATCAACACCTGCCAAATGACTGAACCAGACTTGTTGCTGGCCCTGGAGATCAACACACCACTGCCTAACAACAGGCTTGCTGATATGCAAATTGACAATTGATCAATACCAATGAGTAATGCATCCATATTAAATAAAAATATGCAGCTTCAGAGTTCAATATCTTTATGGTCTAAAGGTAACTGCCAGCAAGTGTTTGGATTGTGTTTGATTATCAATGATGATCTTTTCCATCCCAACAGGAGGAGATGGAGGAGCAAAGGAAGAGTTTAGAAATTGATTCTCCACAAGCGGTGAGGAGACAGGTTCATACACATGCTAACATGAATTCAGTGACATTGTCTCAGGACTGCAGGTTCACAGATTAGTTTCTGTCACTACAGGAACAAAGAGGAAAAAATGGCCAGAGACCTCAGCACTGCAGTGGGCCTGACAAAGCTCACCCACCAGCCGCAAAGGGAAACAGAGTGCATCGTTGTGTCGTCTGTGGAAAGGCTTTCGCCAAGATGGACCACCTCAGAAGACACCAACGCATCCACAGTGGGGACAGACCCTTCATCTGTGAGCAGTGTGGAAAGGGTTTTACTCAGTCGAGTGATTTAAAAAAGCACCAGCTCATCCACAGTGGGGTTAAACCATTCAGCTGTGAGCAGTGTGGGAGGTGTTTTATTCGGAAGAGTGATTTAAAACAGCATCACTTCGTCCACAGTGGGGTTAAGCCATTCAGCTGTGACCACTGTGGAAGGGGTTTTACCTGCGTTAGTAAGTTACAGAGACACCAGCTCATCCACAGTGGGGTTAAACCATTCTGCTGTGGTCAGTGTGGAAGGAGTTTTAATGAGATGAGTGATTTAAACAGTCATCAGCTCACTCACAGTGGAGTTAAACCATACATCTGTGATCAGTGTGGAAAGGCGTTCACTTGCATTAGTAAATTAAAACGACACCAGGTCACCCACAGTGGAATTAAAGCATTTGTCTGCGGCGAGTGTGGAAAGGCTTTTACAGAGAAGGGTGATTTGAAAAGACACCAGTTTGTCCACAGTGGGGTTAAACCATTCACCTGTGAGCAGTGTGGAAAGTCTTTTACTTGCCCGAGTAAATTAAAAACACATAAGCTCATCCACAGTGGAATTACAGCATTCACCTGTGAGCAGTGTGGAAAGGGTTTTGCTTTCAGTGGGATCTTAAAGAAACACCAGCTGATCCACAGTGGGGTTAAACCATTCAAGTGTGATCAGTGTGGAAAGTGTTTCACTCGCAGGGATGATTTAAAAACACACCAGTTCACCCACAGTGACGTTAAGCCTTTCAGCTGTGAGGAGTGTGGAAAAGGTTTTGTTAGCCACAGGAGCTTAAAAAGACATCAGCTCATCCACAGTGGGGTTAAAGCATTCATCTGTGGGGAGTGTGGAAAGGCCTTTACTGAGATGGGTGAATTGAAAAGACACCAGTTTACCCACAGTGGGGTTAAACCATTCAGCTGCGATCAGTGTGGAAAGTGTTTTAGTCAGAAAGGTGATTTAAAAAATCACCAGCTCCTCCACAGTGGAATTAAACCATTCAGCTGTGGTCAGTGTGGAAAGGCCTTTACGCTGATTACTAACCTACGGAGACATCAGCTCACCCACAGTGGGGTTAAACAGTTCAGCTGTGGTCAGTGTGGAAAGGCCTTTACTCATAAAAGATACTTAATAAACCATCTGCAAACCCACTCTGGACATAAGCAGTAAATGTGTGACGTCTGTGGAGAAGCAGCCTAAAACCAAAGCATGGACACTCCACAGTGGCATCCATCGTCTGCCTTTTATCCAAATTATTGGAGTTCTGAAGTAACACTGTAACCAGAGAGACCCTCAAATCCCTCTCTATGGTAATAACATCATCGTATCATTTTAAAATCTTTTGATTCATAAAATGTTATTAAAGAATGAACAGTGGGGTGCTGGGATCGCCACTCCTTGCTTTGTACACTATTCTTACTGCTTTCTTTTAAACATACTGAGTTTGTCATTGTTTTATGTTAATCCCCCCCTGTTGACCCAGTAGAGCAAGTATGGAGCTACATACAATACAGTACAGTTTTTAAAGACAATCCATATTTACAAGTCCTCTTTGTGTAATAAAGTTTTTTTCTTAGAAAAAAAACTGTTAAGATGTGTTTCATGGGGTGGGGGTGGGGGGCAACTTCATTTACAATCTAACAATACACCTATGAACTTTAGTTTTGGATCCATCATCAGTTTCAACATTGTTTATGCTGAATTTACTATTATGATTTATTGGTTGATTTCCAAATGGATAGTGGATGTTCTTAAATTTTATAATAACCCATTTATAAGAAACAGTTTTTATACCTTTACAGTACCCAGGAGCTGATCCAGGATTTCCTCACTGACAAACACAGTGGTATTTAAATCAAGACATTCTAATTAGTTTAAATACAGTATAAAAAGTAAAGGACTAAGTACTGAACCTTGTGGTGGGTTATAAGAAGGAAGGAGGCCAAGGACTAGTGAGTGTCAGAGCCACTAACCAGGACGAAACAACAAATATCCAATGTGTACCTCGAGAAGATAGCCACAACTAATCACGTTAAGGAGCAGATTTACAGATTCCCATAGGTTCACACAGAACCAGTGTGGAGCACGCTCACTTCTTCTGAAGTGTTGCTGTAATGCACACTTACACACCTCCTACTGTCATCAGTCATCAGCCCAACTGTTTCTCGTCGATCAGTCGTGTAGTTTTAACAAACTTCACAGGAAAAAAGATGGAAATGTTTAACCCAGAAAAGCCTGATGTAACACTAGCCCTACATTTTATTATTGTGTAGTAAACAGAGGCTCCCTCCATCAGGAGCAAATGACCCCCCCCCCCCCCCCTTTCTTCCACAGGACCCCTATGACAGTGGGAAGGAAAAGCTCCCTTTTAACAGGATTGTGGGATTCCTCTGTATTATTGCAGGGCCTCTACCTTACAATGTAAAGGGACTGTTGTTGTGATTTGGTGCTACATAGGTAAAATGTAATAAATTTAATCCTGTTTTTGTGTGTGGGTTTTTTGACCACTCAAAGCTTTTTCCAAAACCCAGAATGCCCAGTAAACCCAAAGCACTCGTGCTGGTTCCAAGGTGGTCCCAGTGCTGTGGGTTTCCTGTACCAGTCCATCAGATGTGCTGACCCTCTGATAGACTGTTTTCAGGTGAGATGGTGCCTTCGATGAGCCTCAGGCTATGTCCACACTAGCCCAGATAGATTTGAAAATGGCGTTTTTGTCGGAAAATGCTCTGCGTCCACACTAGCATTTTCAGTCGTTTTCACAGAGTTGTGCGTCCACATTGAAACGGCCGAAAATGCTTACATTCCAGTCCTGTGCATGCGCAAAAGCGAGTGAGAACTCGCTGGCTCCTTCCACCCAGTGTGTACGTCTTGCCTGATCCAGTCTGCCCGTAACAAAAAACGGTTGCATTTTCGCTGTTGACCAAACGCTCCACCAGGAGATGGACGCAGGACTCGTACGCCTCATCCTGGCAGGGGCGGATCTAGAGAAAAATTTTTGGGGTGGCATGGAGATCAGATAGGGTGGCAAAGTCGAAGCCATTTCTTTACACATTTGCAGGTGCTACGTTTTCTAATACATGCCATATATAGTCAAAATACATCAATTTTTGTTTAATATAGCGTAGTCTAACATTCTTTTTGGCATTAGCCGAAATAACTAAATATTTCAGTTCATAGCCTATACAACAAATAAGCATATATCCCAATAAGTACAAAATCCAGAAACCTACACAATACAAGGTGGATTAAGTTGGACTTGTATTTTTAATTAAGTTTCAAACTCTTTTTATGTTGGAAATACATTCAAAAGTGTATTACATCCTTACATTTACACCAAAAGGTCAGAAATCTGCACTTAACAGAAAACACTGAACAAAATATATGAAAAAAACAGTTTTCACCATCAGGATTCACTAGTCAAGTACTTAAATTTGAAAATGGCGTTTTTGTCGGAAAATGCTCCGCGTCCACAGAGTTGCAGTCTTACATGCCTCTCTGCAGCTTCTCTCCTCCTGCTACCCCCCCCCCCCCCCCCCAAAAACACATCTCCATAGAGACTGTGTCAGCTCCCAAACAGACAAAAAACAAACTAAAAACCAGCAATAAACAACTTAAACATAAGATAAGATAAGATAGAACTTTATTATAAACTTTATTATAACATAAACAATTACAAAGAAAGAACAATACAGTATCCACATCTGAACCAAAGAGTAAAACAGTGAAATGTGGATTATTAAATATTAGGTCTCTCTCCTCCAAGTCTCTGTTAGTACATGACTTAATAATTGATCAACAAATCGATTTACTCTGCCTTACAGAAACCTGGTTGCAGCAGGATGATTATGTTAGTTTAAATGAATCAACACCCCCGAGTCATTCTAACTACCAGAAACCTCGAAGCACAGGCCGAGGGGGCGGTGTGGCAGCAATTTTTCACACCAGCCTATTAATTAATGAAAGACCAAGACAGACTTTTAATTCATTTGAAAGCCTGATGCTTAACATTGTCCACCCCAGCTGTAAAACTCAGAAACCAGTCTTACTTGTTATCATCTATCGTCCACCTGGGCCTTACACAGAGTTTCTGTCTGATTTCTCAGACTTTATATCTAATTTAGTTCTGAGCTCAGATAAAATAATTATTTTGGGTGATTTTAACATCCATGTAGATGCTAAAAATGACAGCCTCAACATGGCATTTAATCTGTTATTAGACTCAATTGGTTTCTCTCAAAATGTAAAAGAACCCACCCACCACTTTAATCACACTCTAGATCATGTTTTAACATATGGCATAGAAACTGAACTTTTAACAGTGTTTCCTGAAAACCCTCTCCTGTCTGATCATTTCCTGATAACATTTACATTTACAATAATTGATTACACAGCAGTGGAGAGTAGACTTTATCAAAGTAGATGTCTTTCTGAAAGCGCTGTAACTAAGTTTAAGAATATAATCCACCCACTGTTATCATCTTCAATGCCCTGTACCAACATAGAGCAGAGCAGCTATCTGAACGCTACCCCAACAGAGGTCGATTATCTTGTTAATAATTTCACCTCCTCACTACGTACGACTCTGGATACTGTAGCTCCTGTGAAAACTAAGGTCTCAAATCAGAAGTACCTGACTCCGTGGTATAATTCTCAAACACGTAGCCTAAAGCAGATGACTCGTAATCTGGAGAGGAAATGGCGTGTCACAAATTTAGAGGATCATCATTTAGCCTGGAGAAATAGTTTGCTGCTTTATAAGAAAGCCCTCCGCAAAGCCAGAGCATCTTACTATTCATCACTGATTGAAGAATAAGAACAACCCCAGGTTTTTCTTCAGCACTGTAGCCAGGCTGACAAACAGTCAGAGCTCTTGTGAGCCAACAATCCCTTTAACGTTAACTAGTAATGACTTCATGAACTTCTTCACAAATAAAATTTTAATCATTAGAGAAAAAATTACCAATAATCATCCCACAGATGTAATATTATCTACAGCTACTCTTAGTACCATTGATGTTAAGTTAGACTCTTTTTCTCCAATTGATCTTTCTGAGTTAACTTCAATAATTACTTCCTCCAAACCATCAACGTGTCTTTTAGACCCCATTCCTACAAAACTGCTCAAAGAAGTCCTGCCATTAATTAATTCTTCGATCTTAAATATGATCAACCTATCTCTAATGATCGGCTATGTACCACAGGCCTTCAAGCTGGCTGTAGTTAAACCTTTACTCAAAAAGCCATCTCTAGACCCAGCAGTCTTAGCTAATTATAGGCCAATCTCCAACCTTCCTTTATATCAAACATCCTTGAAAGAGTAGTTGTCAAACAGCTAACAGATCATCTGCAGAGGAATGGTTTATTTGAAGAGTTTCAGTCAGGTTTCAGAGCTCATCACAGCACAGAAACAGCTTTAGTGAAGGTTACAAATGATCTTCTTATGGCCTCTGACAGTGGACTCATCTCTGTGCTTGTCCTGCTAGACCTCAGTGCAGCATTCGATACTGTCGACCATAATATCCTATTAGAGCGATTAGAACATGCTGTAGGTAATACAGGTACTGCACTGCAGTGGTTTGTATCATATCTATCTAATAGACTCCAGTTTGTGCATGTAAATGGAGAGTCCTCTTCACACACTGAGGCTAATTATGGAGTTCCACAGGGTTCAGTGCTAGGACCAATTCTGTTTACATTATACATGCTTCCCTTAGGCAGTATCATTAGAAGACATAGCATACATTTACACTGCTATGCAGATGACACCCAGCTCTATCTGTCCATGAAGCCAGATAACACACACCAATGAGTTAAACTGCAGGAATGTCTTAAAGACATAAAGACCTGGATGGCCGCTAACTTTCTCCTTCTTAATTCGGATCAAACTGAGGTTATTGTACTCGGCCCTGAAAAGCCTAGAAATATGGTATCTAACCAGATTCTTACTCTGGATGGCATTACCTTGGCCTCCAGTAACGCTGTGAGGAACCTTGGAGTCATTTTTGACCAGGACATGTCCTTCAACGCACATATTAAACAAATATGTAAGACTGCGTTCTTCCATTTGCGCAACATCTCTAAAATTAGAAATATCCTGTCTCAGAGTGAAGCTGAAAAACTAGTTCATGCATTTATTACTTCCAGGCTGGACGACTGTAATTCATTATTATCAGGAAGTCCAAAAAACTCACTGAAAAGCCTTGAGTTAATCCAAAATGCTGCAGCAAGAGTCCTGACAGGGATTAGAAAGAGAGAGCATATTTCTCCCTTTTTGGCTTCCCTTCATTGGCTTCCTGTTAAATCCAGAATTGAATTCAAAATCCTGCTCCTCACATACAAGGTCTTAAATAATCAGGCCCCATCTTATCTTAATGACCTTGTAGTACCATATCACCCTATTAGAGCACTTCGCTCTCGCTCTGCAGGCCTACTTGTTGTTCCTAGAGTATTTAAAAGTAGAATGGGAGGCAGAGCCTTCAGTTTTCAGGCCCCTCTTCTGTGGAACCAGCTTCCAGTTTGGATTCAGGAGACAGACACTATCTCTACTTTCAAGATTAGGCTTCAAACTTTCCTTTTTGCTAAAGC